TTGTTCCCCCCCCCCCCCCCCCCCCCCTTTTTTTTTTTTTTTTTTTTTTAAAGCAAGGCTGTTTTTCTGACCTTGCCAATCATGCAAAACACTGTGCATCTTGTGCTTCTGCAGTTTTCAGTAAGGTCGTAATTCTGTAAGACGACAGCACTTGAGGCTAAAGGGTCCCTGGATAGTTAAATTCGTCTCGACTCTCTTGTAGTTGATTTGCATATTTTCTTCTCAGCCTGTGTTCTGCATCCCTGGAGACTCACACTTGCATATCAGTTGACTGCACAGTGATCACGACTCAAGATCAATGCAATTTCAGTTGTTCTGGATGTCTCTGAAAGCCAGTTATGGATTTTTGCCTTTTCATCATCTGTTATGTTTTTGCCTCATTTTTCCAGCAGCAAAAATCTGTCTCATCGTTATGCACAACTGACTTCATGGCATTCCTCGCTTTAAGCCACAACCTCATTCACTGAGCCAATTAAATCACCTGACAATGTTTACACTGAGACAATGAGGTGGTTAGCATGCAGCTTCATTAGTTTTTAACAGTAAAACAAGTATGACTTCCAGTGTTCAATCCTACTTAACACTGGATACAGAATGCCTTCAAATACACATTCCACATGCTATTGTCCATCACCTTTAACAGATTGAGTTTTAATTGTAATTAATTTCCAATATCTTTTGGTGCGCACTGCTGCAACTTGATAATTACTCTTACTCATTACCCCTGACATTTTTATAATGTAATTTAGTGCAGCACTGTGGTACACTGCATACCAAGAGAATGAATTTATTGTATAATAGTAAAATTACTGCAAAGCCAACGAAGTGGCCCTAATAAATGACCTGGGCAGCTGCACTTCAGTAGTTCATCTATCCCAAGTGCTTCTTTACTTGTAATGTTTCTTCTTTGCAGTATAATATTCACAGTTATGTCCAATGACTATTTTATACATCTTCCTTGTGTTTCACATCCGTATTTGAAGTAAGCGCACTTGTCTCTACTTCTTTATTTAGTAATTCACATACTGTAAAGCAGGAGATGACCTGAAAGCTGTAATGCAGGGTTCCTCTCAGTGTCTGGTTGACACGTGCAGGACTTTCAGACCATATAATTGCTAAAATGCTGTTGACACAAACACACCTGCAGTCCAAACAGTTATTCTCACATTATGAAACAAATGCAAATCAGTACATCAGTTTGTAAATTCTCACCTCATTTTGATGGCTTACCTATTGAGAGAGAGCGATTCACATTCAAAATACTGCCAATTTTAGCAGCTGTTATGACTAGCTGTAAATGGCTGGTTACCTAAAACCATCTGGGGATCCCACACATTTAGAAAAATTGCAGGTGGAGGCCGATCATAATTTTCTTGCTGTTCTCCCAGTTCAGTCTAGGACATCTAGCTCAAAAGGACACTCATAATTGTCCTGCTCAGTAAAATGTCAGTGGTTTGCCAACAACTCCTTCCTTTTCTCATTTTCTGTGTTTCTTTGTAGAGTGAGGGATCATCATCATCATCATCATCATCTCGGCTGGGACATTACATTCCGACGTGAATTGTACTGCACATCTGCTCAGTGCAGGTATTTCACCACCATCACGTGGGGGTGGGGGGGCAGCGGTGGCTCAGGAGATAGAGTGGGTTGTTTCCTTACCAGAAGGTTGGTGGTTCGATTCCTGGCTTCTCCAGTGCTCATGTCAAAGTGCCCTTCTGCAAAACACTGAACCCCTAGTTCAGTGTGCAAATGTATGAGTGTTAGGGAGTGTGAATCAGTGTGCAAATGTATGAGTGTTAGGGAATGTGAATTGTGTGAAAAGCACCGAATGTGCTGCAATGCATAGAAAAGCACTATAAATCAGATCTGCAATAGTTTTTACACTGCACTTTCCCTGAGCTCCTCTCGTTATACTCCTCCCATAATGAAGTACACCTCCTCAAGGCTAAACTATCAGTTACTCACAGTTTAAGGAGGGACTTCGAAAGGCTTTTAAAGGTGTTTTTTGGCAGCTCTCTGATCCTGTTGCTGGACAGATTCCTGTACAGAACAAAAAGGTAGCAAGCACAGTAAAGGTAGGCAGCATAATGAGCAGAAATACTTGCAAAGAAGCAGGTGCACATTCCATAGCTATGCAGTGCAGACTATTGCATAAGCTGATCTTTCAGCACTGGCCTTCATCATACACACTACATAAATGCAGAAGACAGCTACAATGAATGAAACTGTCCAATATCCTTCAACTTTACATACAGTATATAGCAGACAGCAGTGGCGTAGGCAGAAATTCTATTTTGAGTGGGCCAATACTAAAGTGAATGGGCCAACTCTTCCCATAAAAACTGCATGTTAGACCAACAGAGCACAGCCTATTAAGGCTGCACAGTGTAAAAATAAAACTTATTTTATAGCCAATTGAGCCTAAAATTTATTTGCAACAACTCGTGAGTTGGTTTCTCATTACAAAATGGTGCTTGTCATAAGATCTGAAACTCAAAACACCTGCAGCTCATATACTGTGATAACTATACAATTATCCCTTTTATTACATTGTGGCAATTAACAAGCTCTACTTATTATGTTTAAGACAAATGTTCCTCATGCACCACAACCATTATTTAGACAGGGATTTAACCATAGCAAATAAAATAAATCCACCACTCGCGCTGAATCTCTATTTATTACCATCATCAGAAACACAGTCAGTGATCAACATAATCAACCCTCAGCTTCAAGCTGCCAGGAAACTTCTCCACTAATCCAGACATGACAGAGTGATTGTCACAGTCTATTGTTTAGCAGATTTTGCTGAGATGGTGGGAAATGATTCATCCTGGCCACTTAGTAATGACAAATGACAGTTCCAGTTTCATTTTTCTGTTTTATATAAATTATTAAGTAATGTTTTATTCCGTTTCCCAGTCTGGAAATGTGTAGAGCTGAGAAAGACCCACTGCTATTTTAGAAATAATCAAAATGTGAGTCAGGCCATTCTCAGTCAGCAACAAGAAACCCCACCATCTAAATTTATACATCTTTATTTAGACACTTCAGTCTCCACTGAAACTCTGTGATTGATTCAAGAGCCTCTTATTTAATCTCAAATTGACTACGTGGGCCAAAAGTGAAAGAAACAATTTGGGATTTACTCACAGTTCTGCCAGTTTCCACAGTGACTGGAAAGTGTTTTCAGGGACTCTTCTGATCTTGTTGTCCATCAGTAATCTGAATGAGAAAGAGCTGCTGTCAAACTGCATAGAGCAGTGCAAAGTGGTATTTGATTGACCTGTGTTGAATCCCATCTGAGGCTGGATGAGATCTCACTCATAGTATCTAAACATATGGCTTCCAGTGTCCACGATGCTTCTTCTGTTAATACCATCTCAATCCAGAGTTAGAGCTGCATTTTAAATGATTTTTAAACCTTCTCTTGCTCATTCACATAGTCACATGCTGCATAAAAAAAAACCTACAATAGCAACACTCATTGAGTGGCATCATTGCCAATATGGGGCAAAAAGGCGATGTTCTTTTATTTCTCCCACAGTCGACCTGTTAACCTTACTGTTATAATCCCATGTACAGTGTCCTTTTGATGACTGACAAGATCCACTAGTCACCATGACACCTGAACATGGAAAGATGAAGCCAGACTTAGACAGTGCACAAATGTTACTCATTCTGAAACAGAGGCCAAGATATTGTTCATGTGGCTCTGGTTAAACAGGTGAGACAGAACCAGATGGGACGCACGCGTGTCAGTGCGTGATTCACCCCATCCTCTGATCCACCTGTGGGGGTAAACAGAATACATGGAGAAAGTGTCCCCAGAGAGAAATGTTTAAATCTAGTTGATGACAGCAAGACTTTTAGACGAGGGCTGTAAAATGTTTGATATTATAACTTGCTTACCCTCAACTGTGACTTACACTAGCACTGAAAGTCAAGATACATCAGCTTGTGCAAGGGTGCTCCAAGATTCATTACACCAGCAGTAGACTGCATAAAAACTACAGGCAGATTGAGAGCCTTGCTTGTACAATCAGCGTTCTTACCCAAGCGGTATTACCGTTTTGTAAGTGGAGTGCACTTCATTTATAGGGTGGTGTAATCACTCCAAGTGCTGAAGTATTAGTCAAAGCTTGTATGTGTTCAATCTCAGTAAAAACCTGACAAAGCTGGGAATGTATCTTCTATATTGTTTAATCCCTTCAGGATTTTGAAGACTTATTTGGGATTGGTGGAACCTAAAATATCTGACTTTGTGGCTGAATTTGTTTTTGTATCATTCATAATAATTAAGGCAGCTTGTTCCAGTGAGAATAAACCTGTTTTGAGCATTCCACACTACATTTAACTGCTCTCTCTCTCTCACAAACACACACACACACACACACACACCATCTATGCTTTCATTACACATCCAACCGGATGCTTTGAAGACATCTTTTAGTCACAGAGACTTTATTCCAAAACTGTTGTCTGGAACACACACAGTTGGTCTCAAACAGACAAGCACACTTCTTACGTGCGGTGCCACTAACCATGCTCATTCATTTTAACTCGTCTTGATTCTTTCTGAACTTGCAATAAATCTGGATCATGGTGATTTGTCTCATCTGTTGTCCGTGCATTCTCTGGGTGTGTTGTGTGGTAGAAAAGTGTTTGTCAACAGTGTCTTTGTGTTCCAACACAACATTTCACATTGTGCAAATCAGTTTACCCCCGCTGTTGGGCAGATTAGAGAACATCAGGGGAATGAGTTGTGCGGCGAGTAGTAGCTAAATATTGCTGGTAAACATGACATTTGTACAACCCATTTGTGTCTTCACACCCTGAGAGGAAAACAAGAGCTTGGTGATGTACTTTGGCGTTTAAAGGTGGGATACTCACAGAACTTCAAGCTTGCTGCAGGTCTTCAAGATGGAGTAGTTGAGAGTTTGAATCTTGTTTCCTTCCAGATCCCTGAAAGCAGAAAACAATGTTTATACCCAAGATACAGAAGCATGCACACAAATCAAATCTACTGTGTATAGATAATGCCACCTAAGCCAATTGCAAATTGAACTGTACTTCTGATGGAAAGTATGTATTTTTTTTTTTTTCAAATACTGTGCTTAAGCACAATTTTAAGATATCTGTACTTTAGAGTACTTGTATTTTCAGAAACCAAATTAATATAAACATTACAGCATCAAACCATTGATGTCTGGTGGAAAATTCACAAGGTACCCAGCAGTACTTCATATCATAACCATGTAGTTAAAAGTAGCTCCACCTTTACCATCTGAACATTAAAGTGATGAGCACAATAATATCATATACAGTAATATCATTCAGCATAATACATAATTTTGCTTTTAGTATTTTTGATGCAACACTATGAATGAGACTTTTACACCGTTTTATTGCTATTTTACCTAAAGGAATCCGAGTACCTCTTCTACCACTGACTTCTAAGTTTATTCCAGATAAGCTTTTGTTTGCTTTGGAATTTCAGTAAGCGAGTGGAGCGCTGACAGGCAGCACGCTGGTATCACAGACATAAAGTCACACAGATGATTATTAGCATCAGACTCATCTGGCAGGTGCTCTCCAGTCCAGTAACCAAAAACAGCTGGTCGAGCTGACCGGTCACAGTGACTTCAGGTGAGGACACTTCATCTCTCGTTTAGCCAAGAGGACCACTCATTCAATCTCATATCCTCAACTACCCAACCCTCTGCCACCTCCATCTACCAGCCCTTGTGTGTTTTATGTACTGTACACAAACATACTGCCAGAGTAAACTCACAGCCAGTGCAATGAAGGCATGTGTTGGCAGAAGCTGGGGTGGGGGAACTGCTGCAGTGATGTGTTCACCATGGATCTGATGAGAAAGGAATAAAAAATAAATAAATAAAAATTTGATTGTAAACCAGAGATAGATCCAACTCTACAAAGCAGAAGCTCCCATCATGGCACAGCAGAAATGATACACTGCTGCACTCTATTACAGCTTGTATACCTGGAAACACGACCTGTGGCTTGTTTTGAACAAGAAGGAATCAGCTGACAAGGACAAGAAGAAAATTAGAAAGCAACTAGTCTGTCAGGCAACAGGAAACAAAATGTCAGCTTGCACAAACATCTTAATTACAAACAAATGCAAAAATAAACAAATGCTACTCAACCACTTGCTTGTAAATATAATCCCATGTCAGTGTAATTAAAACAGCCAAAGATAAGACTTAGAAGCATCAAATCAATCCAAATCACTGATGTTAGTGTCCATGAGAAATTACAATGAAAATATAGACAACTTCCAGCGACATTATCAAATAGATTAAGCAAATAGATGTACAGTTATTAACTGTAATGTATCATCTATTGTATCACAAGTACTTCTGGTCTTTCCCCACCAATGAAGACAGTTTGAGAAACTACAAAAGAGGCACAAATAACTTTAAAAGCTGTTGAAGTGCATTACATAATTTAAATTGGAATGCACTTTAATACCTATTTTAATCATACCTTATATTTTTATGTAAATGTTGTTGGCCAGCACCCATTTTTAAATGTGTTCTATATAAATGCATCTTGAACAAATGGCTTATGAACTAGCCTAAATTATTTGCCAGAATGCATTAATATTGTGAGGCTCCACTGACCCCCTCAGTACTTAACCATCACAATCATAACACGGAGACAAGGCTGAGCATGAAATGACCCGTTTAGCAATACAAACGATTCATATTTGACAAGCATACACACTCTTTATCCCCTCTGAGCACTGGGAAGAAAACTGATTACAGAAAACTACTTCATAATTCTGAACTCCATAAACAAAATCACATGAGTGATAGGGTACATTGCAAATTTGTATACTGTTTATGCACTTGTCTAAAAACATACATCTTTGTCATCGATAATTATTCTGAAATAGGTTTTCTGTCATCTGAACATTTTAATAATTAATTTTGGACCCAAACACTAACAGAGAACAAAACAGATGGTGGAAACTAACTGGGCTTTATTGGTGACAAGTCAAAGCCAAGAAACGCTATGGCTGGTTTGTGAACAGAGTGAGCAAAAACATGGACGAAGGTGTAATTGGGATAACAACAAAGGTCCTCTGGCTAAATAGACACCTGAACATAGAAGAACAGAAGCCAGATGCATATATGGAACAGCCACAAAACTGAAAAGCAACCAAACTAAATTCACTAAAGTATGGTGAAAACCTTAAAAGAAAACAGAGAAACACAACTACATTAACAGGTGGGAAAACAGGAGAATGATAGGACGAGTCAGAGACTATGAGAGTACACAATCAGGAGCCAAGAAGAAACTAGAGTCCATCTGTGAACATGAAGTCTAGCTTGAAACTACTTACCCAAGAACCAGAAGGAGGCAGAAGCAAACAAACAGGTGATTACCAGCAGAAACACAGTCCAACAAAAGACAATGACATAGAGAAACATGAGCGAAGACATAAATGCTAGTCTGAAATGACTGAGGTTCACACTGGCACTTCTTCATGGCAGGCTGCAGCAAAAGGAAAATGTTAACAGAAGAAAGGCTGAGTGGCTTGATTACACTTGATTGGAAACAGGTGGGTGTGATGAGGGTTGGCAGTGGTGAAGCCAGAGCAGATTAAGAGTCAGATGAGGCAGCTGAAGTGTACCAAAATAAAAGCTTGGGACAGGAAGTGCATGGAATCATGACAGCTTTTTTTTCAAATTGCATATAGGTTTTTAAATACATATAAATATATGCACAGCTAAAATCTCACACACTTCTCATCTTAGAAAAGTAAAAAAAAAAAGTGTTAAAATCAGTTTGAGATTAAATCAGTCAATAAAAGAGGAGCTTTTGAAGGAAATAATTATACTACTTACAGGTACATGAGAGACTGGAGCCCAATGAAGGTGTCCTGGGACAAGATGTTTAGTGGGTTATGATCCAAAACCCTGGCTCGAAAAACCACAAATAATAATATACATTTTGCAATAATTCAACCAACATTTTATTTATTCTTTTCTTCATTCTTATAAAAAGAGGGGTTTGATATAGTCAGCGACCATGTCCATATGATAAATATGAAGCTACAGCAGGTGAATAAATAAACATAATAACTGCCTGAACTACCACTTGGGTCTTTGAACATGCTGTTAGCAACAGTCACACAGCAGAGTAACTGAGTGCACAAAACAATAGCTTCCTCACCTACCCATGCATGCATACATACATGGGTAGGTGAGCACGTGGGTGTTACTCACAGCCACTCTAACTGATGGAGATCCCTGAACACACCAGGACTGAGGGAGGATATTTGGTTCTCACTGAGAAACCTGAGAGAGTAGAAGAGAAGTGGCACAATAAGGGGGGATGGGTGAAAATACATTATACACATACATACAGTGCACAAAAACACACCTACAGTCCTTAGGTTTTAAAGCAGCATAAGTAAGTGAGACTGAAATAAATGTTTTGGTAATATTTAATAACAGTGAAAAACACAAGACATTTTGTCTGTGCATTCCACACAGCTGGTGGTTTTCCTGTAAATGTTTACAAGACATCCCCTTGGAATCTGAGAGGCTGTGGTGAACATTTTTTTCCACATTTCATAGACCAAATAACAGAAAATATGACCAGAGGATTAAATCATAATGACTAAATAGCTGCAACCCTCATATGCAGTTGCAGACATCTAGAATGAGTGTGACTGAAACATGTAAAATGTGATTCTTTTCTGAACTTAATTTACTCACACATTCGTATTTGTAGTCAGAATACGTTGACTGTAGTTCATCTGAATTATGATTGTGACACATTGTGATTTTACCCCTTTTACTTCTGTTTTTAACCTATTTCAAATTTGCATATTATCACAAGGACAGTGTGGAGAGCTTGAGCAGTTTTCCAAAGAAGAATGCAGTAAAATCATAGTGTCCAGATGTGTAAGCCTGACTGAGACCTATCCACACAGACTCAGTGCTGTGATTGCAGCCAAAGGTGCATCTACTAAATACTGACATGAAGAGGGTGAATATTTATGCAATCACTTATTTCCCATTATATATTTTTATTTGCTTGACAATACTTTGTAGAAACCTGTTTTCAGTTTAACATTAAAGAGGTTATTTGTAATTTTTTTTTGTCAAAAAAGCCAAATTATAGTGACCATGATTGATTTTGTACATTATTAAAAAGGCAAAACATCCAAGGGTGTGAATACTTTTTATAGGCACTGTACTTACAGCCGCTTTAAACTGTACAGGCCGCTGAAGGCATGTTTGGATATGAACTGGAGGCTGTTGTTTTGTAGAAACCTGAAAAAAGAACAATCATAACTGGTAAAATTATTGGAATGTTCTTTCATCTGATCGCACTCATGCATAGAAACATTTTTCACACTCATACATTTCTTGACTGAACAAATTGGCAATGTGACTAACGCCCCTGCTGTTAAAGTATTATCACCTAGTGCATGATCATTTCTTTCCCTTTTTAAACTCCAGTGAGAATGACTGGATGATGTCAGTCAGCATTATCTCCACATCAGAACACAGAGAAGAGCCAGCTGCAAATTATCACACTATTAACACATCAGCAAATGCTGACCTTTATTCTTTGATTAAAGTTTAAGAATGTGAACCCTGACATAAACTTTTCAGACAAGTGGAAATGTTTGTGAATATGTGTGCTCTCTTTCAGTTTGACACTTTTATTTTTGCAGATTCTGCAGACAGACCCACTTGATGAAAACGACTGATCATTTCCTACATCACTGGACATCTTGTTCTGACTTTTGACAAATAACCAGCTTAACTAAATGATGTTGCCGATGTCACTACAACTGCTGATGATATGTAGTTTAACATTACATTTATCATATCCTTTAATTTTAAGATAAGTGGGTGGAGTGAAAATGGGTGAAACATAGTATTTTGACCTCTAATGTAAAAGTAAGCTAGTTAGTTTAGCTTACTCTGTTAGTTGAAACTTTTTAAAGAGTATACTATACTGTATATATGATGGGCATGGTGTCACCACTTCCATCCATTATGCAAAAATAAAGCTAAAATATTGTGAATCCGGCTGTCATCTTGCTGTTTTGCAACCAGATTCTGCACGGTAGCGACCAGCCAGCATGAGGTGATTGAATCATGGTGGCTTCACTTCTTCGAGCTCTCAGCCTGTCTATTGTTTATACACTCTTTGATATAAATGGGTAAGACAAAACAAAAAAAAAATATTTGCCAGTACAAAGCAATACAACAGCAGCACACATAACATCTCACATCTCTCTGAAACATTGCCACCTCCCCATGAAGGCCCGAATGCAGGACTGCTGTCCTAGACTGCCAACTGAGTGTAATTTAGTCAGTTAAACCTCCCCAAATGGGATGGCTCAGTTTGCAGAGAAATGCACAAACACACACAAAACATTTTTTTCAAAAGAAACAAAGGTCTGGCAGAAAAATGTACTGTGCCAAAAAACCCCATCTCACAAGAAGAATTAATGCTGCCAACAAATCTGTGCTGCAGTAATAAGATTTAGAGTTAACTGAAAAGAGAGATCCAATAAAATCATTCTATACGGATAACAAATTAGTGCATATTTCAAAAACAACAGCAACAATAAAGCTACATTATACCAATGTGGCAACACATTAAATATTTTAATGCAGGCTCAGCTCATTTCAGTCTTAATTTTATTGAGCTCTTTGTCAAATTAATGAATCAAAACATGAGCACACACAGTTTAAGGGCAATTTACTGTTGGACTGATGGAGAATATACAACCTCTCCAAAGGGAAGCGGATTGGATTTATACACTGAACACACTGTCTCCACATGGACTGAATGAAGATTTTGACACTAGACCTTTTCAGTATTTGAAGTTATATACATGTACTGCAGAAACACATGAATAATAAGTAAAGAATGTGCAAAGCAGCACAAGCACAAAATACTCACAGTCTCTGTAGGGCAAAGTATTCAGAGAAAACAAAATCAGGCAACACTCTGATCTCGTTGCTCCTCAGTGACCTGCAAGAGAGTCCATGAAAGGCAAATGTTATAAAAACCTAACATGCATTTCACATAAACAGACACCTGGAAAGCAAATATACTCAGACAGAGACAGCAAGAGAGAAAAGACTAAAGGTCTGATGCATTACAAGCAATAAAATAGTCACACAAAACTCTGAACTACTGCTGTTATATTCAGAAATGGCTTTTAAAGAATTCTTGGTGTCAACAAAAACAGAACAATTATCCAGGAGAGAGGGTAAAGTAGCCTACAGCTGTGCAAAGGTCTACTGTCATGAAATCTGAAAAGGTTTCTACAACCAAACACACACACGCACGCACACACACACACACACACACACACACGCTTGCTGTTGCCACTTGATTTACATTCATTTCCTGGAGACTTACCCTAACCTTAATCAGAGCTGCTACTTGCCTAATGTTTACCCTAACTTTAACCAAAGCCAACACATACTCAAACCTTACACCTCGTCATTTTCATAAAAATCAACAAATTAGTTGTGGGACCCAGCTTCTAGTCTCCACAAGTGACTTCCAGTCATGTAAGCTATGGATATAGCAAGGTAAGAACCAGACGCTTTACAGTAAAGGGACACGAGGTCTAGGAAGACACGCCTGAAAATGACATTAAAAAATTCAAACAGATCATTTTAATTTTTTTTGCCTGTTGCAACACAACAGGTCACACCAATAGCATCAAAGTGAAAAAAAAGCTGCATGTATGCATGTATAATATCCACCCCCCCAACACACACACAGCTACTTGAATTTGCTAAATGATATAGCACATTGATAATAATAAAATCTAAAACATCTCTAATTATGCACTACAGTAAATAAAAAAGCAACAAATCTCTGTAAACAGTTAGCAAGAAAAACAAAGACAGCAACAGCACTGTTTATGTCAAACCTTTAATGGGCTTTTGCATTCAGACATCTGTAAAGGCAAAAAGAGCATCTGCTTTGCAGCTGTTAACAAGCTTGTCAGTATAAAAATCTTTTCAGTAGAGACAAGTCCAGGAACACACACATACTCAAGGTCATTTTCATTTACTTTGTCAAACGAACCATAACAAAGGATCTTGCAGAAGATAAAACCAAGCAAACGAAAAAAAAAAAGTTGACAATTAAAGCAAACCTGATAAAGACAAGCAGCTGAAATGAAATCAAAGCATTTTGCTTAAAACTGCAGCTTGATGATGGAATCTGATTTTCCTCTTTAAATAAATTAAAATCTTCAAAATAAGCCAGAACGATACTGGAAGCAGAGAAGGGAAAATACGGATCACGGCAGCTGGTGCTGATTACAGACCACTCTTACAGATGGAGTTCTCATGATCTGCAATATCTTAAGATCATTATCTTCATCATCCCACCATCTACTGTATTTCCAGATGAAGAAACTGTATCTCAACAGTCTTTGTGTTTTTCTTCCTAAAGTTCAAATTGGAATCGCTGATTATTTTCACTTTTCTGGCACCAGATTTTATATTTGCGTAGCTTGGAGTTTAGAGATATAAAATTTCACTCTTGAATGTGTTTGTTTAAAGAAAAGATATTTCGGAGATATACTGTAAAGCCCCAGGCAGAGAGGAACGTGCATGTGATGCTCAGTGAACAGACTGTTGTTACTGAAGGGCAGACACAGCTCAGCTTGTTAGTACTGGATATTAAGGTTAGAAAAAAGCCTGCACTTCTTAATTACTAATGTTCATTTTTAAGTATTATTTAAGAAGGTTATGGGAGACAGATGCCTCAGATAAATTTAGTAAGCCTTTTACAGAAATGTAAGTGGAACTGAACAGAAACAAATGTGTGTCCTGTGTGTGTTCTGCCACAGATGAGTGAGCTCTTCAGGCTGTGAAGTGTGGTGAAATGTGGCTGTGAAGGTAGAAATGTGGCCGTGAAGAAGAAAAGCAGAGGCACAAATTGGATGGGCTGATTCGGCATGTAAGGGGGAACAGACACTTTTCAGCTAAATGAAACTGCTCACCAACTAAGAAAAGGCAATAACAGACCAAAAAGGAGAACATTTACAACAAATGGGATTGTCAGATGAAGTTATTAAAAGGCAACACAATCTGTCAGAGCTTATCTTGCCATGGATGGAGTTTACAAAGGCCCCGGTACCTTTTGTGTTTAGACCTATAGGGGGGGAAAATAAGTTGTAGTTCTCATACAAACTATTATCTCAAACGTGCCTCTCTCAGAGCAGCGAAAGCTTGAACACTGGCTAAGGTGAATATATATATATTTCCAGAAAGGGGTATAAACACACTGTGAAACCAGTCTAAACCATCCATTCATTATCTATACTGCTTATTCCTGAATAGGGTCATGGGGGCCAATTCAGAGTTGCCAATCAACCTAAGCTGAAACTCTGCACAGAAAGGCCTCGGGTCGGCCCAGGCTTGAACCCAGAACCTTCTTCTTCTGGTGAGATGACAGCGCTAACCACCGCTTCACTAAATACCACTTAAACATAAACTGAAATTTCATACAAAGGTCAGTATTGTTTAGGGAATTATATGCATAACCCCTGGCAGAAAGTACAAAACTAAAAGCCTGAGTCCTAACTTTTAATTTGCTGTCTACTTGTTGTGGACAGCTGTAGCCTATGAAACAAAGTCTGCAGTTAGTTAATGAACTGTGGGAGAAGAGGTTGTTAAATCAGGGCAGAAAGAACAAGAGGCTTTAGATTGTTATTATTAATGGATGAAGATAAGACATTATGGCTACAGTTAGATGTCACTTTTATGGATGACCACTCCACAATACTAATTTATTCAGGGTGGTCTAATGATGTAATGGATTTTTAGCCAATTTAGGGAAATGGATAAACAAATAAGTAATACAATTATTTCAAATAAACAGCTCACTTTAGAGGTGCAATATGTCAAAGCAAGCTACAATGGGAGGCTTCCTACTGAGAAATGAAAATGAAATGATGATTTGAATAAACAATGCAAAATGCTGGGATGCTACTACACCGGACACTTACAGCCAGGTAACATTTGGGGAGAGACGAGGGACATCCTGCAGGTTGACTGCCACACATTCGACATCTGTCTGTATGCACTTACAACTCTTTGGGTATTCCTGCAAGTCTATACACACACACACACACACACACACACACACACACACACACACACACAAACCATTTTTTGATGAAGATGTTTATTATTAATGGTGTTCAAGCAGCTGAATCAACTTTTCAACAAGAGATATACTGGGTAGTTATATTTAGTTTTGTTTTGGCCATGAAAAGCAGGTGGTCAATGGATAGTTTTTGTTGATCAAATTAACACTTGTCCATACACACACTGAAACATACTGACATGAATACTGTATACGCGCACACACTTACAGCAGTCATTAGGGAGGTACTGCTTCACAGAACTGCCATTCTGAAGAATTGGGCCAAACAAGTCTGCCCATCCAATGTTGTCCCCTGCAAAGCAAATTAAAGAACAAGAGTTATTTGTACGCTGCAGGTGAAATCAGTGACAGCCACTGCTGGAAAAATGATTGGCTGGAGGAATATGGTAAATGCTTTACAGGACAAGGTAAGCTTGATAAATTATCATCACCAGCAGGAAAAGAATCTGTAAATCAGTAAATTGTTCCTCCTACTTGCTTATTCTTAACTCCACAGTGAGATTTTGATCAATTTCTCATCCTTCTGAAATAAAGCTCCTGAGAAATATTCTCTCGTCTCACCCTGATCCTGTTCTAAACTCTTAAAATGTTCCAGATTTGTTCCTCACAGCCTGTGTTGGAAAGAACTCAGATTCATTAAGAGCCAAAGCTATTAGTGCACACACTGCAGCAGAGATTTTCATCAGGTGTTGGCAAATGAACACCACAAAGCAGAACGGGCAGGAAAGGACACAAACACATTCATCACTGAGGTGGCTGCGATCTGCGGGATAAAATGAGTCTACTCTCAAAGCGGACCAATCCGAGAAGAGCTGGATAACACTGTCTGGTTCCCCATATGGGAAGGCAGTTTGTTTCTGCGGAGAGGGCAAACACGGATAAATACGATGAAACAAATCTGACAAAGAGAAATGAAATCTGATACATCAAAAATGCAGACATTCAAACACTCTGTCCTCATGCAAAAATCATATTTCATTTCATTTCATTTTATGTGGCTCTATTTGAACTAATTAACATAAATTTTCAGGTTCTCAAGTTGTTTTCCTTTGTTTTATCTCTTCAAACTCTACATATAATTTCCAACAAGCCCTCCAACCCTTTGTCCCTTCTCTCTCATATCACCCATAAGGTACATCATTAAACAGCGCTCCTACAGTTGCGGGAGGAATTGTAAGAATCCCGCCAAAATGAACGACAAATTTTGTGGCACTACCAAGCTTTAGGGACCTTTGTCGTCTTGGAAACAGCCATAAACACAAGCTTGGGCTTGTGTGCTGCATACCTAGCCATCCACTCCAGCCTAACAAGAACTTTGTGACTCTAGATACTTACTCCTTTCCTCGCGTCATAATTAATATTGGTCACTAGATGTCAGCAAACAATGACATGGAACATTTTGTGGTAATAACCTGCACAGACATATACTGTCATATTTTACAGGAGGGCAGTCTTGTAGTTTCAGATTCATTCATATTTAGTAAATTTAGGACCAAAACACAGAAGGTAAAGCATCATACTGTAGGTTAGGAGTTTTTTTTTTTTACATCTCAAAACAGTCACTCAGGAGAAACCCTGCAACCCCTTCATTTTGGCTTCACCTGGGGTAATTTCTCTTAAACTAAGCTACTTCTTCATATTTCTTCCTAGGTGAGGGGTATAAGAAAACAGTCAGACTTCAGCGCACAAAATAAAAACGTGATTCGCTTCTCGGGAGTCAAACAAAAAAAAATTGTGAGCGCAGAGTTTTGTTTTTTATTAAAGGTCATATGTTTTACCTTGGTTGGCCTTTGTAATGTTTTAATTAAGAATAAAATGTGCTGCACAGAAGACTACAGAGATTTTGGCATAACATCCTGACAAGTTAATACTTATTTTGAAAACAGATGTCAGTTCAATTACACTGAGATGTGAAAGGCTCCAAATATCGAAGTGCTGCAGAGACTTGGTTCCATTGCAAATATTGTTGAACATTATTATATTACTGAGATCAGTTCTATCAAAATGTAAGCTGACTATTGGTATATCTGCAGCAAAACATCATCATCAACTGTCACATAATTTCACAACAGCTACTGTAGGCCACATCTTGCCTTATAGTGAAGGATTCCCACAGCGTTAGTTTAAGCGTCACGCCATAATTCACCTTTTATGCTTGTAACCTAGCAACCTATCAATGACTGAAGTAGTCTGGACAAAGTGATGTCACAAATTAGCACAAAGAGCTCATAATTACTGTCTCAGATAAAAGGACTTTTAATATCTAAAAGAACCACCATTCATTTGTAGATGTTGTTTAATAAAAGAGAGATTTTGCACAGATAGAGCTGAACCAACTGGACCTGTCAAATGTTCTCTCCAACATGTTGTCTCTGAAAATAAGCCAGCATATTCTGTGTGCCCACCGATCTCAGCTTACAGTCAGCTGCCGTGCGACGCCTCCCTGATGCTGCACAGGAGGCTGCGAGTGAATGCAGTGAAGAAAAGACTTTGACGAGTCACAAGTGTTGAGGAGCAGAAGGGACAGAGGGATATCTTCCTTTGCATATAGGACTTCTTTCTAACTCCAGGAATTGTGTCATAGTTATCTCAAATCACAGCTACACACAGTAAATCATAAATCTATGCAACTGTCATTTACACATGGTGAAATGTGCCATAATGTAAGTAAGGTGAGCTTTCTAGTACTAGTACTGATGGTAAAGGATGTTTCGACTGATCGTTAGGCCCTAACGTGCCTGTGAATCCCGCCCTAACCCACAGCTGCCATCCCTGACTTCCACTAGTTCCACTTCCTGAGGTGACAGTTAGTCAACACCCTGATAAAGGCTGTGCACCAAAAAGCACGACTAAAATAAAGAAATGCTTCCAGTTAACTAAATGATGATGCTTAGTGAACCATCAATCCAGAAAACTATTTTTGCCCATACTCTCTCTCTTCCTTTTCCTACTTTCAACTTGATTAGGTGACTGAGGATGCCCACACTTTCAATCTGGCCCTTGAGCCAGTCTATCAGCCAGCCAACTGTGCGCCAATCAGGTTGCTGCCGCCAGAAAAGCCTTCCTCCCTATGCTGTCACCTAAAGGTGGTGAATGCCATGACGTGTAAGTCGTCTAATGAGCTGTTATTGTTTAGCGTTATTCCCAATCAGATGTACAGTAATGGTAAATATATCCATAGCTTACATGTTAGAAGAGTTACATTTCAAATGCATATCTGATTTTCACTGAGGACATTCTGCTGATAGTTTTTCTCAGTTTTAAGCTGAGAGAGCTGGCTAAAGCTGGTAATATCAGAAGGATTATTAGGCTGGCAGAAAAACACTAGAAATAAATGTGTGCAAATAAAGTGAGATGAGTAAACGACAGTGAAAGCTGATCCAGACACTCTACATGGCTGCTAAATAATTAAACACAAGGGATCCCAATCAGAAATCTTTGTTACATGTTGCTGTTTAAAAAAATGAATAACAGCTAATATTGCCCTAAACATCCTGTATCTATCAGGCTCTAATGAAATTATTGCCATGACACAACACTAAGAACAATGTTGAGATGTCAGGGACCCCACAGGAACAGTGTTTGCAGTGTTTACAACATTTCCTTTACAACAAGAAAGAAAAAAAGTGGTTGTGATGATGCTGCACTACAAACTGGAGCCATTGTTAGGTGAGCTTCTTTTTTTATCAGCCCTTGTTATTATGGCAGTGGTGCACAGCATGGCAGTGAGGGCAGGTTGCCTGATTACAAGGATGGCAAAGAGGAGGCATTCTACAGCACAAAATGGGGTCCTGCTTATTGCCAGAGGGCACAACCATCACCAGACCGAGACTAATGTGTGCTCCTTCTTGATATAGCTGTGATGGAAAACATTTCTTTACCCAGAAAATACAATGTTTTTCAAAACACATTTTTTAATGTTTCACACTTTTTCAGATATATTTACACTACCATATTGGTGTGTTACTTAAAATGAGACATGGGAATAAAAAAACCCTACTGCATCTCATGACAAATGCTAGGATCCTTGTCTAGTGTTTGAGCAAGTTTATCAATATGTGCACACAGTGACACAGCTAGAATTTGATCTTAGTCTGTAGCATTATTTGTTGTCTCACTGTAACGAGTTTTCCATGATCCCTATAAATCTGGATCAGCAGATCTGTAATATTACTCCGATCCAGATCACACTTTTATGTGTGGTCGATCTCATGTGGATGTTATCATGCACTTTTTGTCATTGTAGGCATTGTTTATGGAGTTAGAAGGAAACAACATCCCCATCTCACAATAGTGAAGACTCTAGGTGCCAAAATCGAATGGATTGTTCTGCGGGTCCATCCCTACCGCTTCAAAACAATTTAATCAAAATCCATTTATTACTTTTTGAGTTATGCTGTGAACAAACAAACAAACATAACCTCCTTGGTGGAGGCAATAATGGCAAAGTGTTTTAATGTTTAACACTAGAATGGTTGACACTTAGGAGCAAATGTCCAGTAGATGAGAAGCTTGGTCTTGAATGATAATGTGAAGCAGAACAATTGTCTGAAACTGGGCACAAGTGAAGACAAATTGTCTTTTGGAAATATTTTTCTTGGAATTTGTGTTCTGCCAAAGCTGTCTATCTTTTTCATCTCCAGATCAGATAGAAGTTGTTGAGGATACAGAGTGTGGTGATGAGGAGGTTTTTCCAGTGGCTCCTATCCCAGATAGCTACAGCCTGGTGTTTTTACCAGAATGAGGTGAAAATCTGAAAGCTTTTCTTTTCCTTTTTTGCTGTATCATCAGTATGTGCTGATTGCTTTAAGCAAGAAATGTAATAAATGTTTAATATTATTAATCCTACATTTAAGTTGCTCTCAAGCCAGTTTCACATGTAACACTGAAAATTTCATCAGTGCAACTTAATGCCATTTCTTATTGTCCGCACTTGGACCAGAATGACTCCAGTAACTTTACAATAAACTGTCAGTACTGTCTATGCACAGCGCAGTCTGCGAGCTCTCCCAGGGCAGCCCCCTGGCTGGCTATTGTACTGGCTGAAAGCTGTGTTTTGTGGTTGTAAGTGAAGATCTCGCTAATCCGCTGACGAGCAGCCTGCTCTGTGAGTTGAGGGAAGTGCGGTGTCGCATCTCTCAGCATCTTGGAAAAGTGTGTTTTTCCTGTGTTTGATATAGAAAAGCACGACTGTATATGCAGAACCTCTTTGTGATTACAACACTTTTTTAAAACCACTTTACCGCAGTGGGGTTCATTTCTAGAAAACGAAGCCAGTCTCAGTGAAAATTGATGCAGACTACATGTTTTATGTCTTTTTTAAACAAGGCAGTACTGTAAATAACTTTGAGTTTGTGGTTCTGGTTTTGACAGGGTTATATTTGCCACTGAAGTCATAATGAAATGTAGGCCAGGTTCAAATAGCAGCAATTACACTTCAGCACATAAGCCAAAATTTGTTACTGCTTTTACTTTTTTGAGCTACTGCCCAAAGTCATGACTGTACACATTCATGTTCTGGTTTATTAGAGAGTTTTTAAAATGCCCCTTTTCCTACCTTTTGCCCCTGCCGATCAACTTCATATACAAAAGTGGAAAGTAACTAAGTACGTTTACCCGAGCACAGTTCTAAGGCATCTATTTTACTCTATTTTGATTTTCTGCCACTTCATACTTCAGCTTCACTGCAAATATTTAGTTTTTACTCCACTACATTTATTTGATACCTTTACACACAGTAAAGGTATCACAAATACATTTTCACAATCAGATGACTACAGCAAAATACAGTATAATGATAACACTTAATTAATTCTTCTTAATTCTTGGTGGAAAATTCACAATATACCAAACAGTACTTCAAATTATAAGCATTTAAGGTAGCTAAAATGAGCTCCACCTTTACCAGCTACAGCATTAAAGTGATAATGTACCAATAATTATAATCCATTAATACAATATACAATAATGTTAAACTTGCCATTCTGCATAATGAGTACTTTTACTTTGGATACTTTAAATATATGTTGTGCTAAGTAACATTCTGAATGCAGCACTTTTACTTTTACTTTCTGATACTGGAACTGGTAAACATTCAGAGTAGGACACAGTAATGCTGAGCAGAGGCTCAGGTTGCAGGAAAAAACTGAGGTAACAGTGATATTTTAAACTTGCAACCTTTTGGCTTTGCAGTGGTTAGTGAGCATTTCTACTTTTGTTGTCATCGACATAGCAGTGTAGTATTTTGTAGTTTTACAGAAGTGCTGTTTGAAGAACTTGCTGGATCATCTTTCTATTTTCACTTGTCTGGATGCATAAAATCAAACTTATCCCTTCTGCATATTATATATTTGGGTTTTGGCTTTAATGTGCAGTGAAAAAGTCAATTTGTGTTCATGTGTTTTGTACCTATTTGACTGCAGTTTTTTTATTTTGCTAGGATTGCACCAATGTCTGGCTTGAGCAACCTGTGAAAGTGGGCAGGAGGCCATAATCTCACTCATCATGAGCAACAGACAAACACTCATCAAACAAAAAGGAAACAACAGTAGCAATCTACTTTTAGTTTTTTGTACAGCCACTATGTTTAGTCACATTAAACATTCTGTGAGGCCTCCTTGTTGTTTACTCATATACAACAGTTGCAGTATGCAGTGCTAACTTACCACAGCGCCATTCGTCAGCTCCGTTAGGACAGTCTTTGTGTCCATTACACTGCAAAGCCTGAGGGAGGCACTCACTCAAATTCCCGCACGGAAAATGGCCGAGGGGGCATCTGGCCACTGCTTCCACCTTGCTGCTCAGACCCAGTGCTGAAAACAAGACAGAGGAAAACCAGTAGGATTACGTAGAGCATTTTGGCAGTTAGCACCAAATTTCAGAGGCGGAAAGCCTGAAATACATTACAGCATAAATCTCAGAAATAATTTATAAGTGGAAGTTGTAACATAAATAGTATTTTCTGATTAAAATCCAGGATTACATACATGTAAAATACAACGAAGACCATAAAATTACTAAGAGCACTGACATCTCAGTTTTATCAGCACTGATTGGTAGACATAAAAGGTCACCCATCCTCCACCTGCCACTGAGTATGGTGTCAGTTTTGTTGTTGGTGGTGATTACTATATTTTGTAGAATGGAAATACACACACAAAGAGAGAGAGAGAGAGATCTGTGATGGACAAACCAAGGAAAAGCAGTGTCACTGATGTCAACATACATGACTCTCTAGAATAACATCACTTAATTCAGTTCAGTTTATTTATTATTAGTTTGTAAAATAGGCCAGCGTCATAAAATAAATAAATGAAAGCCCAGCTTGTGTTTTCTGAATCAATCATATTTCTTTTAGATTATTATGTTAACTGCTAGCAATTATAATAAAAATGAAAACCTAACCCCTTGGGAATGCTGTTTGAAACCCACAGCCTACTTAACATTCGTACAACCAAACCGACTCGCCACTGGTTGCCAAACTTTCTCAGAGTCACTGCCTGTCTTTGGACTGTACCAAATCCCCTCCAATGATGAAAATCATTACCAAAAGTCTGGGTAAGGTGGCTCTTTCTTTCCCAAAATGGACAAAATATCTGGTTCTGGATTATCTCACATTTTATTTCTTTTTACTTTTACCCCACCTCATTAACAACTACAGTGTAGTGTGTTTAGATACATGCAAAACTTATAAACTTGTGCAGCTTATGTGCCATTCAATGTTAATAAAGCTTCACACAAACCAGTAAGATAATCATTTATCATTTCTTCACAACTATGTCCAAAACATAAGTCAGCTATGAGCTGGCATGAAAATGTATTTTGGGAGTTCATTTATTGCAGCCTGTTGTATGTCTGGCTTGTAAAATTATCACTGGCTGCCAGCGAACACAAAGGCCTTATTCATATCTGTAAGGGGCACATGCAGCATCACTCCATTTGTACTGACACCTAATATAAAACAGATCTAAAAGCTCGTACATGTACTCTATTATGTCGTGTCTTCAGGGAATGAGCTTTTTTCTAACGATGTCACAAAAAGTTTCAAGAAAAAGATGTTTTCGCTGCAGAAATTTAAGAAAAAGAATATTGTGGACATGTACTGTATAGTAATGCACTGTATAAGTTCTATGTCAAACTTAAATTAAATTACTTATTATTTGGCACCATAATCACATGCCATTTTAAAATGTTGTTGGATGCAAGTCAGGTGGCTGATATTTTTAGTTTGGAAGAATTTTGCTGTATATTATGGCCTGCATTTTTCTGTGTGGTATGATTATTGTAATTCTGTACAATTTATATTTATTATACTTCACACTGTCAGTTTCAATAATATGAATACAAACAAAATTCCCATTGAAGTGGTTACACTGTCATGCTTAAAACCAAGTCTTAACCCTTAAACAGCTCTTGGAAGTTGGTAAAAGTTGGCAGAAAATGTCCTCACGATTGCTTCAAAATAAAATCTGTGCATTCAACCATGGACACAAACATTTGCATACACACAAGTAGGTAACATGCTGTTATGCAAGTAATCAACACACACCTCCGTTCTATGTACACTATGTACTCAGACACTGGTAATGAGGAGCAGATGGGAGGGAAGAAATTAGTCACTGGTGTCTCCTGGTGGGCAGGGCAGAGTTCTTTGTACGTACAGTAGATCATTGAGTTCACCACACTGACTTTTTGACCTGGATCTGGATTGTTTGGTCCATTGAAGCCAGTTAAACTGGTTAAGCCCAGAGCTGCAAAGGTACAGCTAATTGACAGGTGGATGGATTATGACAAAGAGTTTAATATACAACAGCTCATATTCAGATACAAATGGCTCATTTTATTATAGTAGTAAGTAAATGTATATAGTAAGTATAGTAAAATGAAATGTTGATATAATTATGAGTTTAGATGAGAGCATGTGGATTTTTGAAAAATCATGACATGTTTACGTAATCACAGTTTGATTGCCTACACTTATAGCCTGTGATATAATAAAAATGACCGGCCAGGACAAAATAAAGCAGTCTAAAATACAGAAACGTCAGAGCAGAGGAAGAGACAAAGGGTGGGAAACTATTTTTATTGTGGACTTTTTTTTTTCCTTTGGTGGTGCAGGTCAAATACAAAAAAACTAAAGAAAAAAGTCATCTCAATTTGTATATGAAATTCATCAAGTTATCATCAAATAAACAACATCAACTGCTTACAGCACTACAAGCTGCTCAACTATATTTACTCAGCAATGAAACTGATGATAATATTTCCTGGAGGGGTTTCAAGATGCTTGCTTAACATTTTGTAAGTAAATTAAAGTAGTGTCTCCCTAATGCTGCTAATGCTCAGAAAATAAACTGAAGAGATAAAGAGTCATTAAACTACAGTAGACGTTGTCTTCATTAAAAAGGCTGATGGGACAAAGGAGTACTTTTTGCTGCTTAATGCCCTTTTTTCAATCTCTTTATTGCGCTCCAGATTTAGCACTGTGGTGAGGAGATAAAACACCTTTTCCACAGCCATGTGCAGGACGTCAGCATACTGTGCTGAATGAATGGTAGACATAAGTGCGAAGGTCAGGACCCACTGCCGTACAATGAAATGTAAACATAAAATAGTAGCATTTACAGTAATAAACAGTTGCTTAATTATGCATCCAGCAGGTGAATGTGCATCCAATACTTTTTACCTACCAACTCCTGAGTTTTTAGCTCCACAGTGCTCATCAACTAGTCACCATGTCTGTCCGTTGTTTGCTGAGCGGGTAGCTTACAGTGAGTTTTAAGAGTATTTTCACTGAAAACAGCTGCCTGCTGTGGCCAAAAACCATGTTATGAGAGTGGTGAGACTGAACCACAGCAGTAAATTTGTGGGCCTGAGTAAACTATGAGCTGAGTGTAAATATCCGTAAAGCTGAGGAAAGCTGGAATCGGGTGACAGTTTCTATGGTGACACATTGTAATTATAGAAATATCTCCTAAAGTTGCGTCAAGGTACACAATGTCCCATCTTGCATTTGTGAAAAATTGTTTGGTCTCTATAGACATGACCTCAGTGGTTATTACACTACCTACTGTACTGTGTTGAATGCAGTGCGCCTACTCTTGGTTAGTCAAAGCAGGTCTCTGATAAGCTGCAACATTAAAATCAAACACTCCAGAAAAACTACATGTTCAGCTTTGATATGTGACTCCTGTCTTTTTTTTTTTTTTATTTATAATTTTTGTTCTGTTCTTTCCACATTTTAACTCAGGCACATATTGCGTAAAGCAGTAGGAGTAGCTCATAACTCTCTAGATTGTTATGGCAAAATGATCTCAGCCACATGGCATCCAACAATCACAACCAGACTAGAACACATGCACAAATTTAGATCTGTTGAGGTTTGAACTGAGATGTGGTTGCAGGATGTCAGATATAACAAAAACCTGCTCCACCTATAATTGGTCATCATGCTGTGTATGAAATCAGATACACCAGGAAACACAGAGGCACCTCAGGACATCAAAACACTGCAGTGTTGGTCAGTGTGAAATGTTTCCCTAATCTGAAACAGGAATCAATCACCAACAAACAGTTCTCAACTTTAAAATGTTCCAGTTGTCCAGAGTTAATAACTGTCACGTTCTCGGTTCCATTGTTATGTGATAGACAGAGATCGATTTACAGCTAATTTGGTTTTCATAGAGTCATAGAGCTCTGAAACCAGTGCCCCAAATGATCTGCACGGATCCATTTTTACACTGATTTATCCTGTTCAGGCTGGTGTCACCATTCAAAATAAGACAAGTCTGAACATAACTGATTACTAGGTACATACTTAATTTATTTTTGAAGTGATGATCAAAATTCTATCATCACCGGACACTAAATGAAAGTAAGTGCCATGTTGGTCTGGGCACTTTTGACACACTGACATTCAACTCACGCCTGATTTGTAAGTGGGAGAGAGCATTCGAGGAATATGAAGCTGATCCTGCAGTTGCTGGAAGGATTTCATTGCATCACCCAGATATGAGTCATACATTTTTGCTAGCTGCCTTCCACTCTCTAAACCCCACATCTGTCCATTCAACATCAGGATTATAGGCAATAAGTGAATGAAAACTGACTAAACCCAAAATATCTGTGCATACAGCACAAAGACTTACATACATTTTAACTAAATTATTTTGAATCCTATCTTCCAAATTTCTAAAACAAAAAAAGGGAAAATCACCTTATAAATGATTCTCAACTTTAAAATGTTCCAGTTGTCCAGAGTTAATAAGTGTCACATTCTCAGTTCCATTGTTATGTGATAGATAGAGATCGATTTACAGCTAATTTGGTTTTCATAGAGTCATAGAGCTCTGAAACCAGTGCCCCAAATGATCTGCACGGATCCATTTTTACACTGATTTATCCTGGTGTCGCCCTTCAAAATAAGACAAATCTGAACATAACTGATTACTAGGCATTTAGAATGAAATGAGCACATTTTGTTTTTGTCTGCACGCCTCAAGGTTTTATCTTTAGGATCTAATATCAATAAAGCTATGCTTCTATGCTCTAACACCAGCTACATCTACTGGACCCTCACTGAAATGTACTGTATGTATCCTGGAACAGTGACAGAAATATTGTTACATATTCCAATGTAAAGCCTCATAATGCTGTTAATGTTGCAGCAGTGACGTTAGTCCCAATTCCCAAATCAAAACTGCTGAAAGTTAGAACAAGGAGCACTCAGTTCTATTGCAATACATCTTTTCAAAAACCAAGTGAATCAAATAAGCAGCAGTCCACTGCTGACTAAGCGTTTAAAAGATATCATAAAGATAGCAAAATATAAACGTGAGCAGAACTGTGGGACTGAACCAGCTGTAGTTAATTTAATAAACCTGTTTATTAAAAGCTTCCTTTTAAGTCTGGTTCATATATGTTTAGAAAATGAAAATTAATGAATTTATAAAATTGTGCCATATGAACATTTGGTGCATTAAAAAAATAACTGCTTTGTAGGTTAGTGTTCTATTGTAGCAACTTTATAATATTTTTATTTATAGGTTGAATATGTGGCACCCATCACCTGCAGACAGTGCTAATGTTAAACTGAAGCTACTATTCTTCACTTTTTTGTATAAGTGGCATCATCATCATGTTTGCATGTGCAAGTCTAAACTCTTCTTTCCTAGAGGTGGTGCAGATTGTGGTGTGTAGAACTAGTCTGTCCTTTCTGCAGCCTATAAATGAGTTACAAGCCCCTTCCATCAAGTCTTTTATATTTTGCTTCCTTATGGTTTTTAGTAAAAATAATTTGTAGCAGTTGGCTTCACTTGAGCAAAGAAAAATACAACAGTTCTAATGGGCGAACTGTGTCTGTTACAACACCTCTGTGTGAGGGACTGGTCCTGAAGGCAAGAAATGACGCACACTGATAAAACCTGCCAGCCCCTGTGTCTGCCCTCCAGTTTGGAGAATGCACGCATAATATCTGGGTGCTCATCACAGCTGCCAGCTGCTGTTTTACACTGACCAAATATTACTGCAAAGATAAAAGTGAGCAAGATTTTGAAATAAGCGTGTTTTGATGTGAATAAAATAATGATGGTATTGTGTTGCTATTCTATGACAGAACCAGGCCAAAATATGGAATCACTTTGGAGACCACCATAGGCGCCAAGAATGTACAAATCTTTCAGTATCCTGATTATTGTGTTCTGTGCTGTACTGGAGTCCCGCTGGTCTCCAGCATGGCCCAACTGCCCCCTCCCTCAAAAGACAGAAAAGATGAGTGATCTACAGCAGATCTGACAGGAATTACACCGTCTGAACTGTGTGTGGAGAGACTTACCACCTCCACCTCATGGCTATTCATCCCCAAATCGCAGAAAATGTCACATTTGTGATCTTGTTTGCTCTGTGGCTGAAACTGATTAAACGGGTAAATTCCACATCACTGACAACGAATTAAAGACGTCCTCTGTCCCTCTGATGGATGTGAATAGCTAATCAAACTGATTCAGAAAAAATGTGAAATCTGTTTTTAGATACGTTTAAAATGTTCTTTGCTACATGATATTTTGTTGTGTTGACTTTTTTCTTGGTTTCTCTTATATTTTACTTTTTGTTGACTTGTTTGTAGTTTCTTTCTTTCTTTTTATATTCCTTTGTTTTCCAGTGGGATTAAAAAGAATACTTACTTTATTGGTTCTAATTTTTGCTACTTTATATTTCTAATCCACTACACATTAGTGCTGGGTATCAAACTTTAGTACTTCAATAGTACTACAGCATCACTTAAATTACTTCAATACCATTTAGTATCAAAAAAATGTTTAGTACTGAAAAGCGCTTTTGTATATTTTTATTTATTGATGTGAGTGATAACAGAACTTAAGGTTGTGATAAATAGATTAACCTTTTATGTCATGAAACTGCTTTGTCAGAAAAGCATAATTTATGAACTCGTATCAAAGTCAGGGTACCAGTATTGGTACCAATATTAAAAATTTTGGAATAATACCCAGTGCACTTTTATACTCTACTACATTTCGCATTTCACAGCCATAGTCACTTCTTAGACAGAAGGATAAGATTCTGAATGCAGTGCTTGTGTTTTTTTTCACCGTAGCACAACTACTTTTACTTAAGATTCCAATATATCTTCTACCACCAAACAAAGATTACAAAGTTAATGATGAAATGAAATCATTCAGACATTTCACCAAACTGAAGAAAGCTGAACACAAGTCTGGTGTTTTGTTTGCAAGATACCACGAATCACGACTAATTTCGCCGAAATTCCTGAACAAGACCTCCATGTGATATTTGTCTGCTTAAACACTCATGACTGAAACGCCAAGCACTGAATATGAAACAGAACAATATCAACGTGTGTGAATGTTTGTGTGCTGGATGAGGTCTTGTAAAGTATTTCACAACCAAACATTTGTCGCAAAATAGGAGATTCAAACACGAATCACAGACTGGAAGGTGGGTGAAATCTGAGTGGTCATGTGTGATATGAATGGACTATGTTTAGCAGCTTGGCCATCTGAACAACTGACCAACTGAAATATGACGGTTTACAATGAAATGCCAGTACAATGACACATTTATTATATATTTAAATGTATTGAACATTTGCTATTGCCTGTTTTACCTGCCTGAATAATCTTACTACTTGTACTTAATTATGCATGACATCAACACATATTAGTTTAAACATAACCCAGTCTGTAATTCATTCATTAAAAACACCCTAAACTGTAGGATTTGTTTCTGTTCTTGTGAGGACAGTGCCCCTACAAAACTGGTCAGTCTTTGAATAATGCTTGTGCACACCCCTGTCAAACAGAGCTGACAACTAAGAAACAAATAATAAGACTTCTGTCTCCCTCAAATCACTGCACTGTTTACAAGATGAAACCTGGAGATCCCTCAGTTTACTGTGGAGTTAAGAATGATTCATCAACAGTCTGATGGGTAACTCTGCAAAACTGTGGAAGTCAATGTTCATTCAAAAGCGCTCTGAACATGTTACATGAGCAACAAGCAAAAACCCTGGTGCTTCTGCACTGCGAATCCAGCATGCGTGTGCATTATGGTAAGAATACAAACCACCTCCTTGAGATTAACATGGCCAATAATATGAAGAGCCGACTTTTTCCTGTGGGTCTTAATCATATAACCTTCTCCACCCACCATTTGCGTTTACCTCTAATCTCAGTTTGGGTCAGATGAAGGAGCAAAATGATGACAGGTGCGTTCATCCTGAGGCGCAGAAGTTTTACTGCGCTTGTGTCGCTTCGGCTGTAATGTGTCAGACCAATCCAGGACAGGTTTCCCAGGTGAAAACAGTCCACAGATAAGATAAGTCAGCAGAAATCCAACTTAGTCCAGAGAATACCCATTAAATAACCGAAATAACCGAGAGGGGAACTAAGCCAAAGCTCTCGGATGGATCAGCTGAAATGGCAGCGTGGAAAGTAAAACCGTGCCGGTGCGCAACAATAGCGACATCCTCTCCACACTGTCCTTCTCGGAGATTGTGCTGAGAGTCACCGGCGTCTTGCTCGGTCTCCCCCTTCCTCTCCCTCTCTCCCTCCACACGCGCAAATAGACGCAAACAAACACCCCCCCTCACCTTCCTTTTTCTTTTTTTCCTAAAAACTTCACCTGTAGAGGCTCAGTCTTTTGCTGTATGCACAGCAAAGTGCTAATCTAGGGGGTGCAAACCTCCGCCAGGCAGCTCAGTTTCCCAATGGTGCCATTCCACATAAATCCACCTTATCAAAATAAAAATAAAAACTTTAACAATTCACGCAGTCAGCAGAAGAGGAAAGCAGAACATGCAACTCTCTGACATCAGAACAGCTGTGTGTGTGTCAGCAGGACAGCTGCTGGTCAAAGAATTTACAGCCAAGGATGGATCTAGAGTATTTTGGATGGGTGGCCAGGCTGGGGTACAGACTCAGGGAGGGGTGGCACATTTGAAATACATGTATAACCAAAAAGTAAATCAAACTCCTAGTTCTATGAAGTAATAAACCATAAAATATTAAGAATCAAATTGTTTAATTAGGGCAAAAATGTACTTTGTGTACTTTGGCTGTAGACATTATTTAGCTTCACTAAATGCTGTAATTTAAAAAAAAAAATGAAATCCTAAAAAAACGTCTAGGGGAGATATGCATCTTATTTGCAACATTTGATAAAATGAAACAGTAACTGCAGTGTGAGACATGCACAGTGCAGTGCAGCTATATACGAGTGCCCCTCTTCAGTTACACTAATGGCCCCAGTAAGATTTGTTCTGATGCTGATTCTGGTTCAGTACAGTTAGTGAATATGTCAGCAGCAGAGAGGAAGACACTATGATGATGTGATCTTTCTCAGTGTTACAGCAGTAACACTGGTTTGTCACTGCATGAGCTGGTTTTTGTTTTGAAATTAAGAACCCTCCCTGGACTTGTTCCTGAATTATGAGTTCGCTGAGATGAAATAAATTAATTTCTCATTTCATTTTTTGGGAAACAGACTTTCTTGCAGAGTTAGTAGTATTTAAATGGGAGAAACTGTTGTACTGATTTCTTCTGAATAGCTCAGCTGTAAGACCCTTACATTTTGATACCTGAGGTGTAATGGTGACAAGCCATGGCTTTATGGGTCATGTACTGGAGTCTTTTTCATCACCATAAGACTGTTAACCAACAGGCTGAAAAGCCACTATGTCTGCTGTATTCATATGTGTGCGTTACCCATCATCAAACTGGAAAAACGTTTATATAATGTGGAGGGGAGAGATAGAAAAATGTAAATATACAACAATGCTAATACTGCTATTGCCACTACACATCCACTGTGAGCTGCTTGCAGTAGAGTGAGATTGGGGCACTATCCAGCTGTTCCAGAGCATGTCAGCAGGGTCAGGGTCAGAGGCAACAATATTCTTCTTGATACCTTTTGTAATTATTAGCATGAACATCATGTCCACACTATTACAAGCATATTTCTAATACTGGTGTTTTATTGAGACCTGTGCATATATGGGTTCATTGCGACTGCTACTGATCCAGCTTTGGCTCAAACCTTTACCCAGATAGAAGGGAGCTGGCCAGCTGTGGGCTTCGATCCCTTTTTAAACCACTCCAAAACCCAAAGGAGGAGACCTCTGTAGTGGTCTTGGTTGAGTGGAGGAACAAGGTGACCCAGTCCTCCTTCCCTGTGATGCCCTCTCTAAAGAGCTCTGTCATTGCCCCAGACTGACACACTACAGCTGCAAAGGACAGGATTGGGTTTTGCCTTGACAATGTCCTCTCATTCAAGAAAACAAATATTTTCCAAAAAGTCTATTCTTATTCATCTCCATTAAGTTGTCACTTAATTTCAGAAAGGTAATTCGTTAAGCACCTTAGACAGTAAACACACAAGCTAGAATTGAGTTCTGCTTATTTTTAGATGAAGAAAGGACTGGAGTACAAATTACAGAAACATAAAATATCATTTAGACCCAAAGCCCACCAAATGATGCAAACAAAATCAGTCCAGATCATTAACAATATTTTATGTTTCACCAGAGAGACAGCTGTGCCCAGCACACCACTATTAGGAGATGCCACATCTTTAAAAACTGGATTTCAATCATTCATGTTTTGCTATTTAAACACTTGCTCATTTATGTAATGTCCATTATCTGTTAAAGGCCAACGACAATTAAAAATAGCCTCCTTTTGGGTGCAAACAGATAAGTACATTTTATTTTTCCATTTGTATATTTTGAGCGTTCATGAAAGTTTCATCCCTGTTTTTTTGTCAGTTTGTCATTTCTGGTTTAGATGATATGATCTGGTTGGGTTCCACAGACATACGTTTTGAAATAATCCAAGAGAGAGACAAAGGAATGATTTATTCCTGTGAGAGCATGTGGTTGTCCAAAAGAGCAGGAGGAGCTGGAGCAAGGAGGGAGTTTTAGTGCAATGCGTGCTTACTGGGTTCTGATGAATTGCCTGCGGATACCAAGCAGAATTTTAAATGTATTCACTGAGCCATGTTTCAGTGCTAATTGCTGATTTGCTTGAAGGGCCCAAAGCTTGTATAGAAAAAGAACAGGTAACAGGACCAACAGGAACAGATAAGTGGCAAAACAAGGTGAGACTGGAAACACAACGCCTATAAGAAAGCATAATAGACAAACCAGCAATGAACAAAGCCCCAGAAATGCTTATACTGAAGGGAAACTAATCAAGGAAAATGAATACACCTGTGGTGTGTTTGTGTATGTGTGTGTGTGTGAGAGTGAGTGAGTGAGTGATGGGCAGAGCTGGAGGGAAAGCCTGGGGACAACCAGGAACTAGATGGGGAATGACTCACTGCCTCTCTGGTATTAAAAGTGCTGGAAGCTTGGGTGTGCATGGATTTCTGTCAGTTTTTGGACCTTTAACTTTTTTTTTTTTTTTTTTTTTGGTCCAGCACCTGCATTGCATTTTTTGGATGTGGGTGCCCAATATTCTGTTCAAAATGTCCAGGGGAACAGAGCGGGGAAAACATTTGGTGGAAACAGACAATGACTGGAACTGTGAAGATCAAAACTCTAGCAACAGTTACAGCGTATGCTGGAGTTTTGACCTTTTCAGCTTACTTATCCTCATCTGCACGCCTTAGCAGTGGGTGAAGTTGTGCCAGACGTTTCTCGTTTACCACAACTGGGTTTGTGACAGTTACATTTGTAACACTATAACATTTACTGTTTTCAGAACAATTCTCAGGAATTTGTATTTCACCATTTCCATCCTATGCTACTTTAAACTTCTACCTCCCTACACCTGGAAGGAAACGGTTATAGCGTCTTACTCCAGCCCATTTATTTTATAACTTCAGTTACTAGCCACTGTGTGGATTCAGATTATTAATCCAAAATATAATTTTCCAATAAATAATGATATCAAATTATATACTGCCCAGCAGTACGTTAAGCAGTTAAACATGACTCCATCTTTATCTCCAGTTGCAATGTTAGTGATGCTTACACATTAATGTATTAATAATTAAAGTACAGTAATATAGTAGATGTTATTTTAAAATAGATAATTCTACATACTGGATACTTTGTTACTACTCTTAGTGCTTTTGATGGAGACAAGGTAGAAATGGAAACACAACTGGACAGGCACAAGTGAGCAGGAGCAACTGGACCTGAATACCTGGTGCAGCAGGTATTCAGGTAATTATAACAGTGCAAGTAAAATGGCAGAACCAGGTAAGTATGCAGGTAAACAAAACAATCCAAAGACCATAACATGGGCAGACGATGCAGATAAATGAGGATCTCACAGGCATGTATATGACTCATAACTCAAAAGATCCAGGCAAATAATTACTTTCAGATATGCAGTCAAGAGAAAACAACACAAAGGACTCTACAGAGTAACCAAACTCCGGTAAGCATCTCACAATGTTATGAGCGGACTTAATTGCAGTGTAGGGGGGAGACTGTTTGTAATTGTACAGGCAGAAACAGAAAAATAATTCAGGCATGAAGTTCTGGAAAGTCACAGAAGACATTCCTTAATGGACAGTCTGGCAGGGAATGAGTGACTGCAGACTTACATAGACTACTTAGTGGTTTGTTACACATGTGGGATGCAGGTGCGTGTGGGCAGAGCCGGCAGAAAGAGTGAGTAAAGAGACAATTACAGAGAAACTATGGGGCAGTGACATGACCAAAACTGGGATTGTGACAGTAACATATTTAACTAAAATTTTGATTGCAGGACTTTTAAGAAAGTATTTCTGTATTGTAGTACTGTGACTCTGAATTTAATGGTTATTATATAAAAAAAATGCCACAATTAAATAGTTTTTAACAAAGAAAAATCCACTCACTCACATAATTTTTGCTTTAGCTTCCCCATGCCCAAATATACATCACCCATTTCATTACATTCAGTTTCAAATACAGCATGTGGTGCCTGGAGTGAAGAAGAAAAACTGGATGAGTGGAAATCACAGATTAGAAAACCCACTGCCTTTAATCAGTATCAATCTTGAAGCACTCAACAGACAAGAGAAACAACAAATGGCTGTCAGCTCAAACATAAAGAGTAAAAACAGACTAATAAACTCACGCCAGGGTTCAGCCCTCACCATCTGCAATGGATTATGCTCGGAAAGACAAATGTGATCCGGCACACAAAACACACATACAGACTACACTGGTTCGTTGCGCTCGAAGCATCACAAAGGTGTTAAAACAAACAAACGTGTAAGCTGATGTTTATTCATGAGGAGTTTGTGAACAGCTGGAAGAGGAAACCATTTCGCTCTCTGTTGTGAGCCAGAGTGGGATCAGTCAGATAGCTGAAGAGAAAATTACTCTTCATCAATATTGAACAGGGTTTTGTTTTCCTTTTTTATTCATATTGTAGGAAAAACAATTAGTATTCAAATCTGAGTAAGAGTCAGGTTCTTTTATCCAAATACTGCAAATGCAAATAAATTTTGCTTAGAATAAATGCACCAGGTCCAATATG